GAAATAGTGTGGGACCACATGTAAACTTACTTTACTGCAATATTTACTGTGTACTAAGTAAAGGTAGAGAGGAGGATTTTAATGAGTTTTTGAAAAGACCTGATCTCTCCACTTAAAAAAAAAACACATGCATAGCCCTGTACCCGCTCTCACGAGGGAACCCCTATTAAAAGGCGTGCGACAGCATGCATGGGCTCATTTCTCCTCTTGCACCCTCTGTTTAAAATTTGCTGTTTGCATCGCTCATACAAGCTTACTTTCCAAAAGAAGATCTGCATTTTTTCCACTATGTCAGACACACCACCAGTAAGTGAAAATGGGGACGAGCACGTAGGAGGGTCTTACATAAACATATCACCAGAATGATTGAAAATTAGGAGGACCACTTATTTTGATGATCCAGCCTGCACTATACCTTTAACCTCCTAGTATCTGAATTTATTCACATGTATATGTACAAAGAATTGGCTTTTTTGTTGAAAAGATTTTAACAGGACTTTAAAAATAGATCATGTAGAGGAATGGTTAAAGATCCCTCTCTCTGTATGCTCCAACCATGTAAAATGATCACTTCTGCCAAAATGGCATAAGAGAACTTTACAAAGCTTAAGCTGCAGGGGCACCAACAATCAGGCCCTCAGATTGTTAAAGAATATATTTTCTAACAATGATAGTTTTTTCACAGAAATGACAGAAACAAAACAAAAACAGTGTTTCGCTGTGTAGTTCATTGAATGGTTAAGGTTCTAAAATCAAATATCAAATAATAATCAAATAATATATGATGGATTTTTATCTGATAAATGTGATTCAAACATTTGAACCCGCTTGTGACAGCTTTATAATTATCAGCTTTTATTGCACATAGTCCAATAGTCACTCCGTCAGAGAACAACAAATAGCTCACAAGAGGGAAAAGACTGATTTGGTTAAAAAAAAAAATCTAAATAAACCAGTTCTTCCAATTGAAATCACCTTTGTAAAAGTATAACAGTGGCTGAAAAAAAGTCACATATTTATATAAACTTGGCACGAACACTGAACAGTGTAATTTAAAGCACTTAGAGACCATGGCTGTGCTACATCGAGGCTGTCCTCGACAGTCTACACAAAAAGCTGCTCCAGTACAGCAACAGTGCAAAAATACGTCAGAAACACTCAGATTGTGTGGATGTATGTGGGAACCAGTTGACTGGCAAAAAAAAAGGCTTCTTGTACAAATACATCTCAGTTAGAAGTGAGCTATCTAGTACATTCAGCTGCAAACTGGCTCTTTGAAGGGTGAGTCTGGTGATGTGCAGGAGCTTCTCACTGTCAACAAAGTCCACCAAAAGAAACAAACTGCTTGAGCATCAGCAACTGATTTTAATTTAGGCAAGTATTTTCAGCACTTAATTTTCTCACCATTGTGTGTATTTAAATAGATAAGACTACCTGATTTAACATTTACATCACAGAGGTTTGAGGTTGGAGGAATAACAAGGCCCTAAAGTGTGGATAAAAGCTAGGGAAAACTTCACTGTCCTGTTGCCTCCTGGAGAGCACATACATGATGTCTTAACTGAATGTAGAGTAATACTTAAACAAAAGAAAAGTTCCTCAACACTTACAGCGCTTTGAAAAAAAAATCTTTGTAGATTTTTGTCATTTATGCATTAAACATTGTGTTTTAAGTTCAGATGTAAAGAACCAATACAAAGCTGTGGAAACAGTGAAGTAGAAGAAAATCATCTTTTCAAAATCTTTTGCAGATACATATCTGAAAAGTGTGGCATACATTCAGATTCAGCCCCAGTCTTTTCTATCATAAATTAAATCCAATCTACCTTCAGAGGTCAGATTATTTTCTTTAACCTGTATTGAATCCTCCCTTAATTGATGCTGGATCGTTTAAATAAACAGGGTAAGAACATTAGCATTAAACTTTGTGTATGATCCTTAAAAGTGACAAATTTCAAGAAAAACTGTATTTCAGGATAGGTCAACCACACTAGAGTATACTTTATTCTATTTACAAATTATAGGACTCCAGAATAACATTGTATACCTCTTACCAATAAGAGCATGACAAATGCTCCATGATCAATAATAAAATGAGCACACAATGCCTTATATGAGATTAACAATTACTAGAAATGCTGATGATGTATAACAGCTTTTAAAATGGTTTTGGACACCCGAAGACAACAGTCTTTACTGCAGTGCTCTATTAGGGAGTTGAGGAGGTTTTTCCACCTCCCTCTGCATCCTCCTTAATGTGGAGGAGGAAAAATAGCTTAAGTCCTCTTCCAAATCTGTTCAGCACAGCTTTAATTGCTTTAAGTTTTTTTTTAATTATTATTATTGCTCTGATTGCACATTTTAGAACAAGTAAGTAGATATTTTCCTGCAGATCTTTCCCTAGGCATGAAAGTTAGCAAAGATCTGCTTCCCATGCATAGCGCTTTCTCTTGTCTATTGAAATTTTAAAGCGCAGCTATGAGTAATGGCCTTATGTGATACAATGTGGCAGTGAGTAAGGGAAAGGGGAAGTCATGAATTTTTTTTTCATTTTAAAAAGGTTGCCGACAAATGTTGAAGGCACTGTTCTAAGTGGATTTAGTCTAAACAAAGTCCTGCTTTACATTATGTAGACTTTAGACATGGAGCAGATGCTTATGTTTATTATAGAAGAAGGTTCCTCCATTCTGCACTCTTCCCTCCTCATCAACAGAAGTTATTAGAGAAATTAAAGTCTGTGGAGATCAAGTTAAAATCAAAGATAACTGTTTTAAGAATACAATCAATCACAGAGCAGAATAAATAAAATGATATCGCTTCATAATACTAGTGTATAGCAGGTTTACCTTTGGCAGTGTTTAAGTATTTTCATACACCTCTTTTTGACTTAAGCTCATCATCAGCCCTTTATGTTATCTATTTTCTTCAGCAAATGAAATGTCCTACTTCCTACAAAAGGATTGAAATTAACAACATTGTAGATCTTTTGCAATGTTGTTTTTATTATTATGTCTGATTAAACTATTTATCATGGGAGGAAGTGTGTCACCACGATTATATATTAATAAACAAGTCAGGTAAATGCATTGCAATGGTATTCCCCTGCCTTAGTTGATTCTCAATCATGTCATAGACCAAAAAACGTCATATCTACATTGGAATAAATAAAACAATCTTCAAGTTTTTTCAAGTTTTTTGATAAACAAAATACGAAAAGTGTGGAATGCATTTTTTTTTCAGCCTATTTTCTCTGAAAGTTCTAAATAGTGCTGTATAACTAGTTACCTTCAGTCATCAGTTAATTAATGGTCAACAGGTTAATAATTAATCTCTTTATCTCTTTTAATTCAGTAAAAAACACATTTATCTGTGAGGTTCCTGAGGTATAAAAAGGGGTTAAATATATTTAGAAAAAAATGTATAAATATAAATAAATAAGTAGCTTAAACATCTATCTATTGGAATTTTAATACATAATATTGAATACACAATTGTACAATAAAATACACAATTAAATGTCAGATTACTTAATTAAAAAAGATATTAAAAATTATCAATCAAATGCTAAAGTTTAATCTTAAAAATAATAACTGTATTTTAACAGTGATATAATTACATTTTCTATTTATAAAAAAATATATAGTGAAGTAACTTTATGTATTTTCAAGGGGGGGTCGCCATCCTGTTACATGTTGTTTTTGGGGTCACAGAGAGAAATGTTTGGGAAACTCTTTATTAAAGCTTTTAAAAAAAAACTCTATTCTTTTTATGCCTTACAGGAATGCATTACTTTTTTTCTTGGTCCATCACATAATTATCAATAAAATACACTGAAGGTTGTAGTGATAAAGTAGAAATAAATAAATAAACAGGGGCAGAATAATTTTGCTAAGCCCTGAACAGTTTCCTAATTTTTAACTATATATTGTTGAGCCCTGCAGGCCTGGTACATCAGCTGGCTGACACCAGCTGATGTTTATCTATTTATAAAAATGGCCAAAACACAGTCACATGGTGTTTCATCCACACACTTTTCAAATAGGGCTTTAAAATTTCTAAAACATGTTTCAAAATTAATTTTTCAAAAGTACTTTTTGTTTTATAGCTGTGTAAACAAATAAAATGAGATTGTGCGAGGTGATGTAACCATTCTTATTTTCTATTAAGTTTGTTGATATTATTGGTAAATTTCAATGAAACAAAGGCTAAATCTTAGGAGCAAAGGCTTTGCCTTATGCAGAAGATCTGCAATAAGGAAAATCAGCATTTTTGTCTGGTCAGATTTCCTTTTATTAGTGGAAAAATGAATTTTTACACTTTTGACATTGTGCTAAAATCACATTTCCTCCTAGCACCCTGCCCACTAAAACCTTTGTGGAACAAACATGTTTCTACTTATTCAGTCCAAATTTGCTTGAGTTATAGTCAGGATGTGGATTTATAAAGTCTGGGGTTCATTCAGAGTTTTAAATGGTGTTTTGCTGTCTTTATTTTGTAAAATAAAAATTTTGATGAGGCTAAATATTTCTAATTTTTTCTTTGTTAAATCACCTATACATCAGACATGGTGAAATTTAAAATAGTGGTTCCACCTGAAAAATATTTCTCAATGCCTTTCTGTCATACAATTGCAGACAATTAGTATTTAGTTTGGGAGCTATACTTGCTTTAATTCACATATGTAATTTCAGGCAGAATTTGCTCCTAAGATATGCTCCCTCTCTTCTTTCACATATTAAATGTTATAAACCTTTTGCAAATTTTATGCATATTCGGTCCCAGTTAAACTTTCCGGTTTGAATTTGTCAGTAGATCTGGGCATTGAAATCACCAGAGAAACCAATACAACATACAAATAAATAAATTAATACATTTTTTTTTTTTTTTTTACAGTTAAAAAAAGTTTTTTTTACAGTTAGCATTCCTCTGCTATCAGGAATGCAGAGGTAGACTCGTTCATATTAAACTGCAAGTTTTTTTGCTTTAATTCTAGTTGGGGATCAAATTTTCTTTTCTTTTGTTCTCTCTGCTGGTCTTCAGCCACTCGTATGCAGCCCAGAATAGACAGGCTGTGTGGAAGCTGTAAAGCACTTAGAGAAAAAGTAACACCTTTTATATTTTTACCTTCTTGTGGAACTTGTTGACAGTAACAAAAATATAAAATATCACCAGGCTCATCCTGCAAAAAACTAACAGTTTCTTTCTCCTGTAACCACAGAAGTTTTTTACATAATCTTCTGTTAGACAAAGTGCATCAATATTCAGTGACTGACAGGACACTGCAAAACTTTCTAGCACAAAGAGGTCAGCACGAGTCCCAGTGTTTCTGTTTTCTGAAGGTTTCCGAAGGCAAGGATCCATCCAGAACATTAAAAACAGTAAGCTGGCTGGATCAGCACTGAAAGGCTACTTTTTACATGTCCGTGACTCCAGTTTCTTAGAGTTTTTCAGGTTGAAATAACTCAAATCCATGTCTTTCTGGTGTGGAAATTAGTTTCTGTGGGGTTTTGTTGTAACTGATGAATCACAGACCTTGCTGTTTACCAAAGCCATCGTTAGCCTCTCCTACATCACCTTTCTTAGCTTTATCCATGTAATCATTGATCCTTTCCCTCAATCCTTCTTTTGCATTTTTCTCCACCCACTGCCTTTCTTTTTTTGCTCTTTCGTTGCCCTCCACCCACTATCTGTCCCCTCCATCTTCGCTCCCCTCCCCCAGTAGTCTCCGTCTCCTCCACCCGCCCACCTCCTCTTCCTGAGCAAACCTCTATTTGGGGCCCACTCACTCTGGTTGGAGAGTATCTGTCACTCCCATATCTGTCACCATTAGCTGATCCTCTGAAGACAGTAGTCGTTCTCCGTGTCCAAAGAGCTGTTGTGGCCTGATGAAGGGTACAGGTCACGACGAAGCAGCTTGTTAACAACTGTAACCAGGACTTTTTTGTACTGCTGGCGGAGCAGAGAGTAGGCAAACGGGTCAGATGCAGCCTTGCTGTATGTCAGGCACTTACTGATGATTCCCCAGTGGCGGTTGATGTCTATAGAGGGGAGAAGCTCAGCCAACCTAATTAAAAAAAAAAAACATGCATATAAAGTGTTATATCTTTTCTTTAAAGAATAATTAATCTTTTTCAAATCTTTTAATCCTGTTTTTCTGATACCATAAATATTTTTCAAGGTTTTTAGGAACAAAGTTTGACTATATCAGGGGATAATATAGAAAGATGTCAACTCCTGAGCTTTAACCAACTGTATTAGCAAACCCACTTAAATTTTTCTAAACCAACGATGCAGTTTTATGTTGTGAACACATTCAGTTGTTTGATTTTGAAATCATACAGACTCATATTTTTTTATTAACTCATTCCAACTAAGATACAGTACAAGTAAATCTGTATGAATCTGTACTAAAAGCTTAAATTTTAATATTTTCTTAAATGGTCAATACTAGTTTGGTTACATTACAACTTCAAAATTGAACGTTTTAAATCAGGATTTTATGGTACAAATTGGCACCCTTTGAAATTAAATTTTCGCCTCACTAGATCTAGATAATGACATTTCTACCCAAACTTCTTTGAGAAACAGCTCCAACTTAGATTGGATTAAGGATAAATTAACATGTGTTCCTTCCTTTTTTTGTAGATCTTCTACAGGATTGAGGTCCTGGCTTTGATTGGGTTTAAGCAGATGAATATGTATCCATCTAAACCATGTTTATCTGCTCTGACTTAATTTCTTTGGACTATTGAGAGAAGCTCCCCCTTAAATTTAAAGTTTTTTTATATAGACAACTAAAGGTAAAATTAAAAAACATGTAAAAGGAAATGGAAATGCCTATCAATCATTAAATGATTAATATCAATATGTAATTAATACGAGTTATTAAAAATTACAAAATAAATTTAGATTGCATCATTAAAGTCATGATTTCAAGCAAAACTTAATTCTAATTTCCAGGGAAAAAAGTTCCATCAAAATATTTTTCTCCACTTGCTCTGATGGCAGGTCACTGAGAGGAAATTGGATCATACGGGTGCAATTGGGTTGGAGATTATAGCAATTTGCCAGCACAGACTGGTCCAGATGAGATAGTTAGGTCTCAGCTGGAGGCTTCCAGTGGGTCAGGAGGTTAGGCACTTCAAAAAGTCAGCCGGGAATCTTTCTCTATAAAGTGCCCTCCTTTTTCCCTCCCAGACGTGTGCAAACACCAGAATTATCAGGCACATGGATCTTAAGCAAAACATCTGAGAGAGTTTCTGCCGTAAACATGCTTAAGGTCTATGTTTTAGTGTGTTAAGCACACTACTAATAGGTTTCTTTTGATACGGACAATATGGCTTTCTGCCCAGTGTGGCATGTCCCATGTTCCATGTCTAATCAAAGAAAGCAGTGGTCTCTATTTAAGGAGTCTGAGCTCCACCTGATCATCCTTAAAGCTATTTAAACTCAAATGGATTTTTGCAATGGACAGAGGTTATTTCGTAGTAAAACTGTCATTATTTATTTAAAGGTTTTTTATGTAGTATTTTTTTGTACCTGTATATGACCACATTAGAATGGAAAAACCATGAAACATATTTTTTCAATTGATGATCGAATGCCTTAAAGCATGATTTTGGTAGCTGGAAAACAAGCAATTCTCATTGTTCTTAAGCATGTAGAGTTGAATTCCAATTATGTATTCATTTAGACTGGCTATATCCAGGCCCTTCAAATATCCTGGACTGGCCTATATTGGTTTGTTAAAATTCCAACATAAAACATCCAGAAATTAATAACTCTGTGGGTAAATCAGAATATCCTGCTTGAAAATAAAAAATATATCACTCAGAAGCTACTTCAAGCTTCTACTATAAGCTACATCAAATCTACCTGTGTGAAGACAACTGCTTGTGCTAAGATGAGAAATATTTCAATATAACATGATGTTTTAAGTGATACGTTGACCAGTAAGTCAAGGCTGAACAATATCAGTGTTGAGCATGCACTTTAGTATCATTGCAACCCATTATGATATTACTGTTGGCTCAAATGAAAAAAAGCCGTAGAATATTCTCCTATTCTCCTTGTTCATGCATCTTTTCTTTCTGGATTCCAACAGTCCAAAAATATGCATTTAAGGTAAACTGTGTACTCTAAATTGTTCTTAGATGTCAGTGTATGATTGTTTTTTTGTTCTGTGAGTTTGTCTCTCTGTATAGCCCTACAAGAGACATAAGATCTGTCTCACTTAGTGACCCAGTAAAGATCTGCACCAAACTCATGCAAGAATTAGCCAGTTAGAGTAAATAAGAGGTGTTTGGGACGCATGGTGTTGAAAGCAATAATATCACTATCAAGTTTCTGATGTAATATAATAACCTTATTCTAAGCATTTGATTTAGAGATTCATTTTATTGTTCAGATGTTTTCAGCAGCTGGTGAAATTACATTTAGTTGTTCATCAAACGCATGTTTCAGGTTGACCAGTCATCCCCCATAAGAGCTACTCATGTAGATTTCTGCGAAAATTAAATATCAATACATAATTTACATAAATTATTCGCCCAATTATTGATTGAATGCCTCTAAAGTGTTAAGTAGTACACATTGTTTTGTTGTTTTTAGAATTGGGACTATATCTGGTAAAGTAGGAATGAGTTCAGGTCCTCAAGGACCCAATTTTAGTGAAAAGCCATCACTATAAATCCATTTTGATCAGACTTGAGTGTGAGTTTCACATTTTCTTTCAGTTTTTTTACTCTGATGGTCTATGCAGAGAGAGAAAGACTAACTAAAAAGGCTATTCAGTCTAAATCAACATAACTATTTGAGCAGCACCCTATTAACTTACATGAGTAGAGTTGTTAATTTTTAAAGCTCACACACAGGGGTTTTACATTAGATTAAATATTTTATGAGTTCTCATCAGGTAGACTTACCTTGTAATTACATAAGGAGCAAAGCAGATGATAAATGAGCCGATGAAGATGCTAATCTTCTTTGTGGCTCTCTGCTTTCGCCTCTTCTGCTCAGCTAAACATCTTTGTTTGACACTGCAAACAGAAAAGGGCACCATAGAGTCCAAAGGTCACACAGCTTAATGCATAAAATATTATTCTATTATAGTATAGGGGTCAAAATTGTGTCACTTTAAATAACTCAATAAAAGGATTAGTTAACTTTAAGCTCTAAATAGCTACAATTAGATTAATGAATATAGCTAAGTGATCAAAAGATTGCATCTATGTATTAACGTGATAGAAACAAAGCAGACACAATTATTGAAAAGATACATTATAGTTAAAATTGATTTAAAATTATCTAGGTATACAATTCAAAATAATAACAAAACATAATTTAAATTCAGAAAAAAAATAAATATAAAAAAATATATATAAATATGGTTTACCGGTAATAGAAATTGGAGACAGACAGAGGTATGTTCGTCCATCCATTCATCCATCCATCAAAATCAGCCTCATTTTTCACAGGTTAATTCATCAAAGTTAGGCATTTATCAGGACTAAATATTTAATAATTTCATCAAAAGAATATTAATTTGCTATTTATTCTATAAACACTCATGGTAAAATAAAATATATGTAATTATTACAGCATAATCTGTTTAAATATTCATGTTTGAATAGTTCTTCAAACAGTTGTGGCCTTTATAAATGGTTAACCTACTCACCGACTCTCTAAAATAAACAATAGAAAATAAGTCTCTGGCTGTTCTTTTTATCTTCTGCCGTGTCTCACACAGAAGCGGATGCAACCTCCTCTTTTACTGTACCATATGTGACAGAGAGAACAGGCACAAGGGGAGGAGCCTAGCAGAGTACAGCTGCGGACCTTAACTATAATCTGTATTTATTGTATAGCAAAAAAAAATTAACCAAAGTGTTTTATTTCCAACGAAATACCCATTAATGTCGGAGTCAACAACAATTAATTTAAAATAATAATTTAAAAAGCTTTAAAAAATACAAAAGATAAGAAACAGATTCTGTTTCATATTTATTAGTGTGACTTAGCATAATTCAAACTAAGACATCAATAAATTTTGAAAGAAAAAAAAATTGGACATATCACTAGGTAATAATTCAATGAGACATATTTGATATTACTGCATGGAATAAGCTTTAAGAACTGAAATTTCAATAATATTTTACCTTATACATCTTTAAATCTCTCTTTAAAAACATCTATATATGGTTACAAGCTAAATTGTATGGTTATTTAATCTTAAGTTGTTTTAGTCCTAAAGCATGCTATACTTTGTTTTTTTCCCCATATTTTAATGGTTGGGCATGTCTTGTTTGAAAATGTCTTTCCTGGTTATTATGTACAGACAGACAGACTGATAGCCTCATTAAATAATTCAACATGTATTTATTCATTCTTTATATTTACTATTTTGTTTTACCTTTTTGTCAATAAAATTGTTATCTTATTACTTTTCTTAATGGTTTTCTTAAGTCACCTTTATTTTCACTGTAGGACTATAAAGTACAATTATGAGTGCTGCTCTATATAAGAATGTTTAGAAATACATTCAATATACGGAAAAATCATACATACACACAGCCATACAAAAGAATCCTAGCACACTAAAAACCTGAATAAATGAATAATGATTAAAATAATGCTGAAAATTAAGATTAAGAACACAATTTAAAAATAAGAAAATATAAATTAAAGCCAAAGGATTAAGATTACCTGCATCTGGATAATTGCAAAAGGTAATTAAATTTAGCACTGCTGACGTCCCATACTTTTAAAAACAAAACGTGAAAAAAGTATTGTAAAAACAAAAAAAGTTATGAAGGGGGTTGTCCTACCTTGGGTGAATATCGACCAAGAGAAACAAAGTCTGCATGGTGATGATGTCAATCCTCTTGCAATGAAACCTGGCCACTTTCAGAACTTTTAGGTAGGTGAAGCACAGGACGAAGAGTGACAGCACGAAGCTGGTGGCGTGGAATATCACGGTGAAAATCGTGAACTTAACTTTGTCGCTGCCTTCTCCGCTGGGCTGCAGGGTGCAGGACGCGTACACGTCGCTGTAATCCACCCAGGAGAAGAGCAGCGCAGTCAGGGAGAAGGTGAAAGAATGCAGCCAGGAGTAACCCACCATGATCACCGCGTCTCTGTAGCGCATCTTGGTGGCGTAGCTGAGCGGGAAGACCACCGCGATCCAGCGATCGATGCTGAGCGCAGCCATGCTCAGCATGGTGTTCGCAGTCAGGAAAGTCTCCAGGAAGCTCACCGTGTGGCATATGCAGTCCCCGAAGGGCTTCTGGTGCCTGACGACCCCCAGCAGGGTGGCCGGCATATTGAGCACCGTGATGAGAATGTTGCAGAAGGATAAGTTCATGGTGAAAACACCGGGAACCTGCCGGCGGATCTCGGTGCTGTGGACGAAACATAGCAGCACCAATAAGTTTGACAGCAGCGACACGACCGCGACCACAACAATGAACAGGGCGAAGAGAATTTCAGCAAAGTCCATGTCTCACAGCAGAGAAAATTAAACACCCATCTCAGGTAACCTGTGCCCGTTGGCTGCAAACAAACACCTAAAATCAGCCATGATCAGCCTCATGTCTCCAGCATGACTCCCAAATTAGATTGAGTTGAAAAATCCCGATGCGTCCGCGCGTCCTCTCCAACTTCCAAAGGCGCTATCCAGGGTGCTGAAAACAGCCAGCATCTCTCACCTCACATTTTCCAGTTAGTTCCCATTAACACCCCGACTTTAGCGCAGAGCTGAGGCAAAGTGAGGCGATGCATGCCTCTCGGCAGCAGCAGGCAGCCCACTCGTTCAGATCTGGTGGGGGACTGAAAGGAGGACCCGGGTGGTGAGCAACGTGCCCACTGAAGTGAATGACCTATATAACGCATAAAGAAATGGCGATCACAGCCAGTGGAATGATCGCCACGGCTTTTCCTGTTTTAAAAAAAAAGTCAAAGCTTATCTTAAAGAGAGCAAACGAAAATGCATCTTAGTTTATCTAATTTATTTAAAAACATACTAGAAAACACAGCTAGACGTCAGGCAAAATCAAGTTTAGTAGATCACTTTTCTCTAAAAGCATCCAGAATATTGTTTGAGTGTGTGGAGAGAAATCCAACAATTTCCTCCTGATACTGGAAACCAGTTTGGCACCAGATGCGCGCACTTTGCGTCCAGGAGGAGGAGGCAAATAGGTCGTTTCCGGAATGAAGGATTCACATTGGTGCTAAACTCAAAGTAAGTCTAGTTTTGTGTCTACCATTCAAAAATTGAATAATATATTTTGTTTAAATGCTGTCAATTTAATTTTGAGATTGTTCAGATCTGATTCTAAATTATTCTAAAACGAAGGCAATACTTTGTTGTAAAAGTTTACACATTCCTTACTATTCAGTAAAAATAAATACAAATATCCCATATATAGGCAAGGCAAGGCAAGGCAAATTTATTTGTATAGCACAATTCCGTACAAAGACAATGCAAAGTGCTTTACATGATTAAAATACAGGAAGATAAAACAGAATCAAAGCAAGTAGGAAAAAATT